AAACAGTAAATGTATAAAAGGCATTCAGCATGAAGTTATAAATAAAGACAATAGATCAGGTCAGCAAACAAAGGGGACAGCAGAGGGCAGCAAGGGACTAGCTCCCTTAAGGTTTACTTACTAATAGCAGGAGTGTAAGAAATAAGATAGATGAGCTAAGATTAATTGCAAGTGCAGGAGACATAGATATTATTGCTATAACAGAGACCTGGCTCAATCTGAAAGATAGAGAGATGCCCTCTGAATGTCACATACAAGGCTATAAATTATTCCACACTGACAGGGTCAACAGGAAAGGTGGTGGAGTAGCGATGTATGTCAGAGACAATTTAAATTGTTGGTTAGACAAGATATTAAATTAGAAGCGTCAGCCACTGAATCTGTTTGGTTACAGCTTCTCGAGGGCCGAGAAAAACTAATTTTGGTGTGATTTACAGGGCCCCAAATCTTGATAGGGAGTGCAGTAAACTTCTATGGGACGAAATTCGTAAGCATCTACATACGAAAATGTTGTGCTAATGGAGATTTCAACTATAGACAGATTGACTGAGCAATTTGACAGGAAATTTAGAGTCAGGTGACTTCTTGATACGATCCAGGATTGTTTTTTAAAACAGTTTGTGACAGAGCCAACTAGGGGAAATAACCTCCTTGACTTGGTTCTTGCCAGTAGGGAAACACTAATTAATAATCTTGAGGTTAATGATGAGCTTGGGGAAAGTGATCACAAATCACTCAGTTTTAATATATCATGGAATTCCCCTAATAATGGCAATCAAGTCTCCGTCCCTGACTTTCGCTTGGCTGATTTCATAGGACTGAAAAATTACTTAGGTGGGCTGAACTGGAATGACCTGACTAAGGGTCAGGTAGGTGGTGATGGTTGCCGATATGATGCTTTCCAGGGCATAGTTCTAGCTGCTCAGTCCAAATTATGTTCCAAATAGGGAAATCAGATCAAACAAAATGATCCTAAATGGATGAACAATAGATTAAATATCTGATTGGTCAAAAGAGAGGCATATATAGGCAAATCAAAAGAGGAGGGGCAATTGAGAAATCGATATATTCAGTTAAAGAGAGAAATAAAAAAGGGAATTAGAAAAAAAAAAGAGATTTATGAGGTTAAAGTTTCAAGAGAATCAGAAGACTAACCCAATAGGATTCTTTCAGGTATTACAGAAGTAAGATCTGGGACAAGATAGGCCCACTCAAAAGTTCCTCGGTGGTTCAGATCAACTGACAGTGATAAGGAAGTGTAGAATTTTAACACATAATTTCCTCTTCAGTTTTTACACAGGAGGATACCAGCGATATTCACGTAATGATAAATTTGTAGAACAGGACGATAATAAACGGTGTACTATTAGGGGGCTTCACAAGTGACATGGTCTTAGGCAAATAGAAAATTAAACCTAACAACTTTCCCCAGGCCATGATTAACTGTATGCAAGGTTCTAAAAGGAATGCTAAAGAGCTTAGAACCTCCTTTGGCTAATCTTTCTAAACATATCACTCAAAACTGGCATGGGTGCCAGTTAAAAGTGGAAAAATGGCAAAATGTGATATATTTTCAAAACAGGTGCAGGTCCTTAGCTTCGAATATGACCAATAGCCTAACCTCCATGTGGGAAAATTTATGGAATCAATAATTGCGATTCAGTTCGTAAGCCACCTTGAAAAGCATAATTTAATCAACGAATCTCTGCAATGGTAGTTGGTTTACAAAGGGGCGTTCCTGCCTTACGAATTTATTAACTTTTTTCACTAGGTATTTGAGCGAGGTAGATCATGGTAATGAATATGATATGTGTATATGGACTTCAGTAAGGCCTTTTGACAGGGTCCACATCAGAGTACTATTGAGGAAAATTAAAGCACATGGAATAGGAGGAGAAATTTTTTCCTGGATTGAGCATGGTTGACAAAATAGGCAGCAGAGAGTTTGCATAAATGGGGTGAAATCAGGAGTGGGGGAAGTTGTCACGTGCGAGAGGTGTTCACAGGGGTCAGTGTTGGGCCCCCTGCTGTTCACAATCTAATAAACGACATAGTTGAGGCATAAAGACGCGAATCGGCAAGTTGCTGATGACACCAAAATCAAGGCCGTCGAATTCATTCTGACGAGGACATTCGAGCACTCCGGAAGAATTGAATAGACTGATGCAGTGGTAGGAGATGTGGCAGATGCCAGTTTAATATAGACAAAATGCCAAAGTTCTAAATGTTGGACAGGACAAATAACCATGCCACATATTAAACATAAAATATTGCTAGATCTTAATATTACGGATTGCGAAAAAAATGATTTAGGGAGTTTTGGTAGCTGTAATCTGGAAACCAAGCAACAGTGCATAGTGTTCGCAATAAATTTAAGCTAATTAGAATCCATTGGATTCATATCAAGAAGCATAAATAATAGGAGTCCTCATGTTGTTCTTCCAAACCCCTTCTATACTCCATTGGTTAGGCCTCATTTAGATTATGCTGCCGCAGTTTTGGTCACGTATTCCCAGAATGGATATAAAAAATTCTTGGAAAATGTTACAAAGGAGGATGACAAAGTTGATCCCATGTATCAGAAAACCTTCCCTATGTGGATAGATAAGGGCCTGATCTGCACTCTCTAAAAAGGACGTAGAATTAGGGGGGATATGTTTGAGGTGTATAATGGAAAGACAGGAATAAATAAAGGGGATGATAAATAGTGTGCTGAAAAATAATCTAGCTAGCATGGACTCGGCTGGCATGGTTTTTTTTAAGTTGGGAAAAATATCAGATTCAGGAAGGATTTAGGAAAGTTACTGGTTTGTATAGAGTTGTGGATGAGTGGAACAAACTCCAAGTACCGTTATAGAGGCCAGAACGTTGTGTAGCTTTTAAAAATAGGATTGGTAAATACATGAGTGGATGTGGGTGGGTGTATGTGAGTTAGACCTGATAGGCTTGTTTGATACCAGGTCGATTGCCGTGTTCTACCTTAAGTCAAGTGACCTGACCTGACTAGGTTGGGTTGCATTGGCTTAGCCGGTAGGAGACTTGGCACTGCCTCGCATGGCAAGTAAGCTTCTGGCAGTGTTCTTCGTTCTTATGTTCTTAGGTTTTTAATTATCACTGGAATATTCCGGAGGGATGGTCCCTAATATGCTAAAGCAATCACTCCATACGAAAGCAAAGACTTGGCAGTCGATTTCAACATACCCCAGTGAAAAGTATGGGAGTCACTGGTACACTAAGTGAAAAACACTAAGTGTCCGGGGGCCAGACTGTTTAACAGCCTCACACCAGCAATAGGGCATTTAGGGGAAATCCATGGTGTCTTCAAGAGGGAGGCTGGTAGATACCTAAAGACGGTCCGGGATCAGCCGGGGCTGTGGTTCGTACGTTGATTGCGTGCGGCTCAGCAGTAAACAGCCTCGCTTGATCAGGCACTTTATTTTACCGGGTGGCCTGGTCGTGCTGTGGACCGGGCCGCGGGGGCGTTGATCCCCAGAATGCCCTCCAGGTAGACTCCAGGTATGCATGTCCTAATCCTCTTTCTGGAAGGTCAGAGGATTACCCAACCGCGTAGCTCAATGGTCGAGTGCTGGACTCAATCAAAACTGAACGGGTTTAGCCCCCAGACGGTTGGAGTCCGTTTATATTATCTGCTGCCTTGTTCACTTAGTAGTAAATAGATGTTCCTAACACCTGCTGCCTCTGTTCACTTAGCAGTAAATAGGAGTCATCTGATTATTGTGGGTTGCATCCTCGGGAGAACCCGAATCACCCCAACGGAAATCAGCTACAATGTTTATTTTTGGGAAGGTTATGAGTGGTTAATAACCCTTCGAAGGTGATAATCCATAGTCTGCTCCCAGAGCTGCGGTGACTGCCGCATGTGGCCTGCCATTCTCCTAAACAACAAAAAATAACGAAGGACACTAATGCGCGACTCTAAACTCCACTTTATCGAACGAAAAACAATTGAAAGATTGATTTAGATTTTACGGCGAAGCAACCTAAGCTTCCATGCACCCCGATACCATGCTGAGAGTAACCATAAAAGATTGGCCTTCACATATGTTGGTTATCTTGTCGCCTGGACTGTGCTCTTGTGTCAGAGTGGGATTTTGTCGGCTCTATTTACACACTTTTTAAGAAATTTAAACTGACACACAGTATCACTTCACTGCTACCGTGACATACACGGCTGCTACAATGTCACTCTTACCGGACATTTACAAAAGCTGCCACAAGTGTCACTCTTACCGTGGGACAATACCACAGCGCTGCCACAGTGTCACTCTTACCGTGACAATACACAAGCTGCCACAAGTGTCACTCTTACCGTGACAATACACAAGCTGCCACAAGTATCACTCTTACCGTGACAATACACAAGCTGTATCTAAGTATCACTTTACAGTTGACAATACACAAGCTGTCACAAGTATCACTCTTACCGTGACAATACACAAGCTGCCACAAGTGTCACTCTTACCGTGACAATACACAAGCTGCCACAAGTATCACTGTTATCGTAGCAATACACAAGCTGCCACAAGTATCACTGTTATCGTAACAATACACAAGCTGCCACAAGTATCACTGTTATCGTAGCAATACACAAGCTGCCACAAGTATCACTTATCGTAACAATACACAAACTGCCACAAGTATCACTTATTGTAGCAATACACAAACTGCCACAAGTATCATTGTTATCGTAGCAATACACCAACTGCCACAAGTATCATTGTTATCGTAGCAATACACAAACTGCCACAAGTATCATTGTTATCGTAGCAATACACAAGCTGCCACAAGAATCACTGGTATCGTAACAATGAACAAGCCGCCACAACCGTCACTGTTATTGTGAAAATACAAAATTCAGCTCGCGCAAGTGTCTTTAGTATCGTGAGACAATTACGCCGACGCAAGTGTCACTATTACGGTCGCAATACACAATTGAAGCCACTGGCAAGAAAATGTGCACAAGAGCGGCAACTAGGAACCTGGGTGGGAACAGCTGTACTCGTTGTCCTCACCGCACGAGCTCTGCTGGCCAACTGATCACGACTCTCCAGAGAGAGAGAGTCAGCCTCAAAGTTTCACTTCACAACGTCCACATTCACCGCTAATTTCCCAGACACACGCACACTTA